AAGAGCCTTACATCCTGGAAGTGATAGAGATTTCCCCTCTTATCCATGATCTCGGGCTAGTCTTTTACCATGGCGATCTACCACCGAAAAGAAAAGATCCGATCAAACACTCGACACCGGATGAGGGGACCTTTGACAAACAAGGAGCTGCAAGGTTCATGCCTCATTTGAGGCCACCTATGAAGCCGCCATTGACCGCTTGAAGAAAGCGGAGCAATAAGTCGAGCCAACGACAATTAAAAAAGGCGCTTGTTGAGAGGCAACCCAATGGTGTGCGACGTGACTTCCTTTCTTTGATAAGGTGAACTCTTTCCTTTTACCTCCTATTTTGCTCTTTTATTTGTGCAAACTCTAAGTTTGGGGAGGCGTATTAGTGTGAAAGGTTTATGTGGTGGATTATTTTATATACTCTTTTGATTTGTTTGGGTATGAACTTACTTGTATGTGGAATTTTGCGGTGATGATTTGAGTGTCTGTTGGAATATTATGCTAGTTATAATGACTTGGGTTAATGGTTTCTGGTTAAATTCTTGAAGTGTTGTCATTTGAGAGACAAAGACATGACGATTGATGTTTATGTGTTTTATTCGTGGTGAGTTGGTTTCAAACTGTTTATATTTTTGAAATGTGCTTGTGAGTATTCTGCTTGATGTCGATTGTGTGAGGTAACTTGACGTGGAAAGTTGGGAGTTGATTGTCTCGGAAAAAAAATAAAGAGGGCTGCAACAGCTGCCAGTCTGTGAAGCTTTAGTGCAACACTCCAGCACGAATAGCTATAGACCATAGATTGTGACGGAGCTGCCGTTCCCACAAAAAAATAAAAAAAATGAAAAAAAAAAATATTGAGACTTTTGATTTCTGGCTAGAAACGCAGAGGAACCAAACCGGTTGGCAAAGAAAGGGGTATCATTAGTTGCATGATTGGTACACTCGGTGAAGAGATTGATGAGCTGCGGTAATTCACTGAATTGGTATTTAATTGTTGGCGTTCTAAAGATGATATCATTTCGAGTCCGGGTATTATTTATTTGAGAAGTTGTAACTATGTATTTATGTGAGATGTGTAAGGTCCTGAGCAAATATTCCACATACTTGTTTCTATCTATCTATGTGCTTATAGTTCTAAGTTGCTTGGGGACAAGCAACAGTTTAAGTTTGGGGAGATTTGATAGGCCGAAAAATGTGCGTATTTTATATATTTAACAGTGTATTTTTATATGCTTAATTTATTCGCACGTTATATATTTTTCGACTTATTTATTATTTGGATGGATTTATTTTCTTTGAGTATTTTATATTTATTTGCAGTGCATTGGAGTACTTTATGAACGCGCGGGAATTCACACAAGCAATTATCGAGATCCCCATAATTAATCCACTAAAGAGGCCCAAGCCTAGCAATTTGATTTGGGCCAAAGGATGTGAAAAGTGACCCAAAATTTATAAAAGGCCCAACATTGATCTTAAACCAATGAAACTCACGCCACTTGCTAATCAAAATTAGATGAGGAGTCTTAATTTATTTTGGCTGGGAGCAAATTACATGCCACGCAGACATTGATTTGGCTAAGGAGAATTACGGGTATTTGGTTGGGAATTATTTTCCCAGGAGAGTTTCACTCACGCACGATCTTTGGGATTTAATTGAGAAGACAAAAACTGACGAGAGGCAGACAGGGGAAAAAAAGACGTACAGAAAGAAAAAGCCGAGAGCACTCAGAAAAAATAAAACGCCACACACGGACAGAGAGAAAAGGAGAGAAGGCTACACACGCGGAGGGAAGCCGCACCCGCACACGAGGGAGATTTTTTATCTCTCTCTTTTATCTTTTTTTTTTTATTTATTTTTATTAATATGTTAGACTAGTATTTTTATCCAGTTTAAGGGGATGTTTGAACCCTAATTTCGATTTGTCTATGGATTGAATGATCTATTTCTTATCGTTGATTAATCGAGACACCGTATTTATTTTGTCGATGAGTTGATTCATGTTATCTGTGTATCGTGTTCATGAATTATGGTGTTTGATTTGGTTTGGCCAGCTAGGTTGAATATCTATGATTTAATTGCTAGATTCGAGGCTTTAATCCGTAATTGTTATTGTCTTGTTTCGTTAGTAGTAAACTAGGGGTCGTGCATCTCTAGGGTAGCATGAACATAAGTTAAATGGTTCGAGCTTTTGCGTCCGTTGCTTAGACTGATCTATTTTCCTAGAACTTAATGCTGCTGGTGGATTAAATCTAGAGAGCTTATTCTAGGTTGTTCACTAGTTAGGTTTAGTCGAAGAGCTTATTTCGATTAAATATTCAGTAAGGGGAAATTCGGTTAACAGAGTTTGTTGTTAGCTAGGGTCGGTAAATTCATTAGTAATTTAAAGGTGTCGAAATTAATTAACGGTAGATTTAGATTGGGTGATAACTGAACCGAAAACTGGACTTCTTTTATTTACTTGATTTTTATTTTGTTATTTTATTTTTATAAAACCAATACCCCCACCTTTTATTGTTTTCTTAGTTTTAATTCAATTAATACGAAATTGTCACAATTTAGTTCCTACTCCTCGTGGGATCGACCCTTGCTCGCCACTACTACTAGTTAGTAGAGGTTAGTTGAGGAAAAATTATAAATTTAAATTTGCCGCGTTGCGACGCGCGGTCAAGAAGTTCACGAGAGCGATGGTCGGTAGCAACACCTGCGTCGTGTCGGGTCACCGGTGTCACGCGGTGGTCTCGGAAGGCGGTCGACGTCGGGGAGTCACGGTCGGGTTGCGTGCGGTGGTCGCCGTGGCTGCGGGATCGTCGCGACTGCGTGCATGCGGGCTGTGGCTTCGGGCTACAGCTTGCGGCGGGCTGCGGCGTTTCGCGGTGGCGTCGACTGGAGAAGAAAACTAAGAAGAAGAAAAAGAGGTGGCGGTTCTTCTTCAATAAATAAAGAGGCGACATCCACTCCTCTCAAATCATATCAACGACGTTCAAACGACATTCAAGTCGCATTCGTCGAGAAGTTCAACTAACATAGCGTTTGATCTGAGAAAAAAGATATCAAGCCCTCGAGTCAACATTGTTCAAGTTCAAGTCCATATTCAAAGATCCATTCCAAATTCAAGATGAGAAGAATCAAAGGAGATAAATAGAGATTGTACCAACAATATTGTTTGATCGAAATATAATCAAGTTGTATAAAAGTTTTATGTTATTCATAAAGTTTGTTGTTACAAATGTGGGACGCCTTGTAGGAACTCTACCTCACATCTCTTCTCTTAAGATCAAGCTAAAAAATCTTTGAAGATGCATGAAGACCTCTTGAAGACAATGTACAAGGGGGCAACTAAGGATGATGTCTCTTCAAGCATTGAAGCAGCCGAAAATCGTTGACTTAATCATGCAAATGGAAAAAAAAAAAAAAAAAAGAGGCTTTACAAGCCCTCTTAACGAAAACTCAATTGGTGCAATTTAAATGAAGAGTTCCATCAAATCAAAGTTATCAAGCTCCTTGATACGAGCCTAAACTATCTAAAAAGTCAAATGTTCCTCGAGAGGAACAAAAACTATCCAAATAATCAAATTCAAATGCTCCTTTATATGAGTTTAAACTATCTATAAGGCTCCTTGACAGGAGCATAAAATGTCTACAGAATCAATATCTCATTGACACGAGAATAAAATGTGTACAAAATCAAGATCTCCTTGACACGAGAGTAAAAGGTCTAGAAATCAAGAACCCATTGATACGAGTATAAACTATCTGTCAAACCATATCAAGAACTTCTTGATACGAGTATAAACTGTCTACAAATCAAATCAAGACTCCTTGATATGTGTATAAATTATCTGTTAAATCAAACGAAGAACTACTTGATACGAATATAAACTATCTATAAATCAAATCAAATGAGGAACTCCTTGATACTAGTATAAACTATCTACAAATCAAATCAAATCAAGAACTCCTTGATACGAGTATAAACTATCTGCCAAATCAAATCAAGACTTCTTAATACGAGTTTAAACTATCTACAAATCAAGCGAAATAAAAAAAACTCCTTTATACGAGTTTAAATTATCTACAAACCCAAGTCGAAGTACCTCTAGATAAGAGTTTAAACTATCTTCATGTCTCTACCAAATACAAATTTTGAGACCCATTCACTACCAAGACATTTGTCCGTGAACAAGTCTCAAGGGGGGCATTTGTAGACATCAAAATTTTAATATTTTATAATTTGAGCATTAATTTATTTGTGGACATAAATCTAAGATAAAAGAGATATTTAATTAATAAAATAAATATTTATTGCACACTAAGTCAAATCTTAAGATAATGAGAAAAATTTTAGAATTAGGAAAGAGATTATATCAAATCATGAAAGACAAATCAAATTGATTTCTTCTTCTTCAAGACTCTCTCTCCTAAACTTATAAATAGAGCTCTTCTCAAAGCCACAAAACAAGCACAAAAAGTCAAAGTCTCAAGCTCAAGAGCTCTCAAAAACTTTATTGAAGGTTTTAAGACATTCTTGAAGACCTAAGGGCATCGGCCTAACCTTCGAAATACGCTCAATGAAGAAGAAAACCAAGAAGAAAAAAAAAGAGGTGGCAGTAAAAAAGCTATCAAGCCCTCGAGTCAACATAATGCAAGTCCAAGTCCATATTCGAAATTTCATATCCAAATTCAAGAGGAGAAGAATCAGATGAGATGAATAGAGATTGTGCCCGCAATATTATTTGATTGAAATATAATTTAGTTGTACAAAAGTTTATATTTTTCTTAAAATTTTTTGTCACAACTACAAATTATTTTTTTCAATTTCATAATAAAAACATAAAGTTTTTTTTTTTTCACCTTATATCTTATTGTATATTCATTTATCTTTTAGGAACGATTTTGGGCCGGCCCGCATGGGCCATGACATATGGCGGGGCGGGGTAAGCTAACCCATCGAATTGGCCCGCTATTTGTAAAAGAATGGCCGAAGAGCCTTATCAGAACCCATATTTCTAAAATATCTGCTCAGAACCATCTTTCTCAACATCCATCCTTACCCCCTCCGCGAAAAAAAAAATAAAAAATAAATAAAATAAAGCTACCCACGCGCACGCACCACGGCAGAGCATATCTTACCGGCCACCGCACGCAACTCAGCTCACAATTTAGGTAGCCAAGTCCGGTCATCCCCAGCTGAGCCTAGACCGGAGCCCATCAGGTACCCTGAATCTCAAATTTTGATTTTATTTTGGTTGAGGTGAAATTGTTTATTTGCTATTTGGACTGTAAATTTGAGACTTTGAATTAAATTCTGACGACCTTGTGACTTTGACTGAAGTTTGTGAACTTGGTTGTTAATACGGCCACAAATAACCATCTAGCCAAATGCAAGAGTTTTGGATTTGCCTAAACATCTGAGGGATATTTGAGTTTGATTTCGTAACTTGAACTTCAGTATATAATTGCAACATCTTTATGCTCTGGTACCTTGTGTTACTAAGGCCTCGCCTTGCAGCCATTCCATGGGCAAATTGCGTTGGATGGCCGGTCATCATTTAAAACTATGGCCTACTAGCTTATTGGGAAAAATTATTCAATGCCAAAGGTTCATTCATTGACAACTCTGTATATTTTGGGTCTTGAAATTTTCTCAAACTTACACAGTATATAGTTATGGTTTCCATATTTTAATAAAGTTCATCCATTGGCATCTTTTAATTGCTAAACTTTGTTTATGAATTTGGTTTATTGTGTATAACCTCTCCGCTGGTTACAAGGATGCTTGTTTCCCCTATCAACTGATAACCATGAGTGCTATGATTTTCTCCATCTTTGCAAAGCTTTGGTTTTTAGGCTGTTCATGTTGTGCCGCTCTCCTAATATCTTTTTTAATTGTTTATCTTGTTTTGGTCTATTACTGTTAAAATTTGCAAATACTTGGTAAGCCTAATTTGGTGTATAACTGTTAAAACTTGCAAATATTTGGTAAGCCTAATTTGGTGTAAAGCAAATAACTGAGTCGTACATTACTCTTTGTTAGTTTTGAGTTTTGCATCTATTATAGGGATTGTGAGAACGGGGAGTTGAAGAGATGTTGTTTTTCATTAAAACCAACGTAATTGTATAATATTTTTATCTCTGAATTTGCAGATGCCTTTTTGTGTATTTTGTAAGTATATCATATTTCATTATTTGATTACAATAACGCATGATGTTTCTAGCTGTTCCTTTCGTTTTGCAGATTTTCAGACATATTTCTATGTGATGGAGCTCCCCTATACTTTATGGAGACGGAGCAGGGAAGAACCATATGGTTTGATAAAGTTCAAACCTAAAGTTTTTCCAAAATTTTCTATTTTCTGTTTAATATTCTACAATTTATTGTCTTTTTTATTCAAAATTTATATCTGATCAAATTCAATTTACAGACGCAAGCGAACCCACACAAAATTTCTACTCTTTTGAGAATACTTTTGAGAGACCGTTTGAAACTTTTGAATTCAACAAATTTGTGGACACACATGCAAAGGAGGCTGCTTTAAGAGTTTCTCCTTGTATTGTTAGCCTCATTTCTTATTCTGGTATATAACTCCTATCTCCTTATCACCTTTACTCTTCTTTAATTCCAAATATTAGTTTGACATCCATGCTAACTAGATTTATTTATAAATAAATGGGTTTGAAAAATAAAATATATTTGTAATGTTTTACATGTATACATGCCAAGAATAGTACTTGTACATTGTTAAAAATGTACTACATATTGCATAGTTTTAACATATATTAGTAGGTACCTATTCACCATCCATAGTTTATATGCTAAAGAATAGTTCTTATTTGGTCCATAACCTACGTAGAGACACACATGTGAGAAAAGTTAATTAATAATAGGCAAAAAAACTTTCGGCCTATCTTAGTTACTAAATGAGTAAACTTTAAAACTACTTTCAAACTTTAATAAATGATATTTGTCAATCCATTTTTTATGTTTATATAACAAATAAATTGTTTTTGATAAGTTTAATTGAAACCCATATGATATGTATAAAATGGAAAAAAAAAAGTAGGGTTGTAAGGTTGTGTTTTTATTATTTAATGTTGTCCCTTATTATTATTAAAATGTTAACTGATCACAGTGTGTAATAATGGGATCAATTTGGTGTTAGGAAATTTATAATGAAGGGAAAATAACTTGTTCCAACTTGTACAATGCTTGTTTTATTTTTAGGTTTTCACAGTCGTAACTATTTTTTTTTTTTTTAAAAACACAATAAAAATAAAAATAAAAATAAAATAAAATAAAAAATAAAATGCCATAAAATGAAAAATGATTGCCAGCACTGGTGATTCCAAAACGTCCTATTGTCGGAATCATTAACACGCATAACCTTCTATTCTCCATCATGTACAAAAGCTCATTAGTAATTGGTCTCACCGTACGGCTTCTGTATTCCAGCCACCACCATGATTTCCACCATATATTCTTGCATTTTCAGCCACTTTTGCGAACTACCTCTAAAATTGAGTGTGCCACTTATGTTATGTTATTGTTGCGCCTCTTTGAAACCCAATTTGTACATTTTCATTATGTTTTGAATTATTTTTAGCAGATTTTGCATTTTCAGGCTAGAGTTTGCAATACATAAAATTCATATATTATAGGTTGCATTTAACAACAACAACAACATAGCCTTTAGTCCCAAGCAAGTCGGGGTAGGCTAGAGATGAAACCCAAGAGAAACACAAAAAAGACTCGAACCAAAAGGAATAGATCGAAAAAAGAGACGAAAAAAAAAAAAAAGACAGAGAGAGAGAGAGGAAGGAGCAAAAGTCACGGTTCTGGCACGTTGATAGCGAGCCTCCACGCGCTCCTATCCACCGCTAAATCCTTGGAGATATTCCAATCTTTAAGGTCTCTCTTAACTGACTCTTCCCAAGTGAGTTTAGGCCGACCTCTACCTCTCTTAAAATCCTCGACCCGCCGTAGAACTCCTCTACGCACCGGTGCATCAGGAGGCCTCCGTTGGACATGTCCGAACCACCTCAGCCGATGTTGAACCAATTTCTCCTCAATTGGAGCCACCCCGACCCTATCTCGAATATCCTCATTCCGGATTCTATCCCTTCTTGTGTGCCCGCAGAACCAACGCAACATACGCATCTCTACTACACTTAGTTGTTGGACATGTTGCCTTTTTGTAGGCCAACATTCAGCACCGTATAGTATCGCCGGACGAATCGCCGTCCTATAGAACTGGTTGGTTGGAACGGATTATTTTCCTACTATAAAATGAGGGAATAAAAAAGTTAATGTATAAATAATCATATATTAAGTTTAATATTTTAAAGTGAATAAGGATTATTCGATATTATAGGAAATTGTTGGCATATTAAACAAAATCTATACTATATAAAGTAAAATGTTTAAACCTTATCCAACTATTATTTTAGTAATAGTAGCCAAAGTGAATAATGTGGTATTGTGAGGTAACGTCTTATTTGAGGGTGTAATACCTTTTCAAGTAAGGGTGTAATGCCTTTCGAGTAAGAGAAGCAAGATGTGACGTGACTTGTTTTGGGAAGAATACACAACTAAGTTTAGAAAGTTGATTTATTGGTAATGTTTAATGGAAATAATTAGAAAATTAGTTGCTCATGTGTACAACTCGTTTGCGACTTAATATTCTTAAATAGTGTCTAGAGGTTGTAACAAGATCGAAGATAACGTCACAAGCAAATGCAAAAAATTGAGATCTATTGAGTTTTCTTGAGGCCCTAACCCCCTCACCGTTTTCTGGGATTAAGTTTTCTTTTCCCTCATGATATAATATTTACTTCGTTTTAGGGAGGAGTATAACAGGACTTGACTTACCGAACAAAAATATTGCAAACTAGAAAAGTAAATATTTCTTAAGAAGGTATTACTATCTAATTTAATAAAGACAATTGAAAATATATAATAAATATAATATCATACTGCAGATTCCATTTTCCCTTCATTTTCTCCCGTGATTTCCTTTTCCTGCCAAATGTACTACAATTGAAAATTTCAATTCATAATAGTTTCTGAGATTATTTTCTCTTTGATATATACATGGAAACATATGCACTCTTTCTTTTTGTCTCTAAATATTCAGGAGAGGAGAAATTTTTCTGGGCTTCTGGGGTTATTGTAGAGTGTGACAATGTCGACGGTTTTTTCGAATGTACTATATTGACTTCTGCAAGTCTTCTCAGGATTAATGCATACGATAAGTCTCTTGCTAAGAATTTGAAGGTTTGTACAATTTTTGGTTATTCATTGTGTTTGGAACATACACTTTCCTTATCTAATTCAAACTTGCAATTAAATTTACTTATGCAGGTAGAAGTAATTCTACCTGGTGGTAGTTCATGTCTAGGTGATGTAATTAGTGTTGATTGGCATTTCAATATTTCTGCCATCAGAATCCAATCACCGGCCCCTTTGCCAACAGCCAAACTGAGGTGTTTGGATGATGCTATTCAGACTCATGATTTAAGCAGACCTCAACTCCAGCGGCATTCCAGTTTATTTAAGTTACTTCCTGGGGATGATTTTATCGCTTTAGGCCGTTATCATTCTGGATCGTATTACCTTATGGTTGCTCCTGGTAAATTTAGGTAAAAGAGATTATTGTTCTTTGGGAATGTCAAAAGGAAGCCCTTCTATAAGATGATAATAGTGAAGAAAACATATCTTTGTTTGGTTAAAAATGAAATTGTTTTTCTTGGCCTCACTTAGCTCAGTAATTTTTATTTTTTATTTTTATCATCCTTTTTTAAACTTCTGCATTCAGACTAGTGAAACCTAAAGCGAGCTTGTGGACTATTAGCACTGGTATCCCGTCAACATACCATATCTAGATGATGATGTATTGTTGGATATTTTCATTGATTAACGATCCCTTTGTATTTTGAGAATGCTTTGGTATTGGTCTACTATCTAATTTTTTTGTCTACATTTTTAGCATCGACCGTTGCGAATTAGATTGCAAAGAGCTTCTCAGAGTGAACTGCATGATTACAAAAGTAATTTCTGTTCCTTTTCTTTTACGTGGATTTTGCATACTTAAAATGCTTATAATGGCTAGTTCTTTTCAATAGTGTGGAATAGGGGGCGCAATGGTCAACCTTTATGGTGAGGTGGTTGGGATCAATTTTTATGCTAAAGAATTTACTCCTTTTCTACCAATGAACGTCGTCTGCAAGTGGTGGGACCATGTTAAATCCGGCAGGTGTGTTCCAAAATCTTTTGTATATTGTGTTGCTACTACAAATCAATAATTTGTAAAAAGCAAATCTCTTTATTCCTTTCACTCTCTATGAGATTGTACCCTACACATTTGATTTTCTTTTTAAGAGTTTTTATTAAAATTTAGAAGTAATATCTATATCTATATATTTATATATAATAAGAATTAACATTTACCAAAAATAGTAGCAAAAAAATAGGTCAATAATTTAATGCAACCTATAAATAGTAAATTTTATTATTTTTCTTATTTTTTTCTTTAAAAATCATACAACATTAAATGCTACTTTAAATTTCGGGCTTTAGTTTATTTTATTATTTAAAAAATCCGGCTAAGATTTATTAAGTGTGTATGTTTTTATTTTTATTTTTTTTCTTAGAAACAACAAACAATATTAAATCTCGGTCTTTATATTTATAAAATCTCAATTCAAAATATAACAAAAGTTTTTGAATCTCGGTCTTTATATTTGTGCTTTAAAAAAAATTGGACGCTAAAAATATTCTTTAAATTGCATAATCAATCAATTAATCTTAATTTTTTGAAAATTACTATGTTTAATTAAGTCATCTTTAGATATATAATTTAAAATCTTAATATACTATCATTTGGTGTAGACATATATTATATGAATCATAAAATATTTTTATTTCATAAAATTAAATATATTTAAAGAAAAAAAGAAAATTTCTTCGGATCAATCGGGTGATTGAATTAGGGTACTGCCCAGGTTGATTGAATTGCATTTAGGTGATATTTAAAATAGTCAAAAAACTTGACACAACTTAGTTGATCCCAGGTGACGAAGTTATGTATCAGTTCGACCACACCAAATCGATTATTGAACCTAAATATAATTTTATATTGAAAATATTTTATTACGTGAATGTGATGTAGTCCAAACTTCAAAAAATCGTATTAACAATACTTTTATGACAACATGTTTAATGATTTATGAATATTTATATATCATTTTATTAATATTTATGTGAATTAAATAATATTTTATTATAATATTTATTAATGTACAGTAAATATAAGGTTTTCTGACTGGACCATCATCGAAACGATCAAGCTATTATATTAAATCATTTGTGGTTTGTTCAGATTTTAATTTATGAACATTTTAATATATATATATATATATAGAGTACATTTTGTAATAAATTTAAATAAAATGTGTTACTTAGATATCTAAACAATTTATAAATTCAAATGTTTAAACTAATTGATAAATAATTTATAAATCTCTATTTTATTTAAATATGTAATTTTATTTAAAATAATAAAATTTACTTAGAAAATTATATCGATCCTATCAGTCCAACCGACTGGTGTTGACGGATTCGAGAGCAAATATTTTATTCAAGCGAACTAGACTGGTTATAAACCGGTTCTCGATCTATCCGGTCGGACTGTGTTCAACTCGATTTAATTTAAAAATAATGGATAAATCATGATTAATGTTATTTATATATTTAATTTATAATATAATCGTAATATTTTTTTCCCGTGCATCGCACGGGCCATGCACTAGTTGCTATATAGATGAACTATATTGATATCATGCATTTTAGGCATATCCGTTTGTTCATTATTTCATACCTTATTTCGAAGTCATAACTTCTACATTTACTGTCCTTTACCGTTTATATTGTTTAGTCATCCAACTATTATTTGGAAATACTTGAAGGCTTAACAATCACTTTCATTGTGAAGTTATTTCAAACAGTTCTTAATTAATTATTTATCTGCCTCATGGAACTTCCAACGTAAGGCGTAAGATCATTCTCTTCGATGCTGAAATTTCTTTTTTCGAAGCTTTCAATGTTCCATCATTCTTTCAAGTTAGTTTTAGTGATGCCAGTTTATTGTTGTTGAACCAAATGTGATGATGAGTTTCCTGGTGTCAAATTCTGCATAATGTACTTTCTTTGCAAGTTTTCTGCCAATTTGATCCCAAGGTAGTTGATCTTAGGTGATGTAATTAAGCCGAAGTAGATTGAGTCTTGACGTGCATGTACTTTCAATTTGATAGTTGATCAGTTTAACCTATTACAATGTGGGGCAGTTGAGCTTAAGATCATAGTTTATCTATGTAACTGGTAGTAATGTTTTCATATATAGACATGCTATTTGAATGAGGGTTTGTCCATTGGTTGAGTTTTTAAGTTAACTTGGTGTTAGCGAAGAAGTGGCATTCATAGAGCATATGTTGACATATGCAATGATGATTTGGCACAGGAAATACAGCCGAACATGGCTAGGGATGAAAGTAATTAAACTTTTCTCCGCTGAGATGAATGAACTCAGAAAGATTTTGGTGAAATTTCCAAATATCTCTGAAGGCATCTTCGTTGAAGAGGTATGTTCTCCAGCATTGCATTGCGTGTTCTCTCTTAAAAACTTAAAAAACTTATTTCTCATGCTAGTAGTTGGCTTGGCCTTTGTATTTTTTGGGCATACAATTGTCAGTTTCATCATAAGTATTGCTGATTTCAGAGTAAATAATAATTATTGAATTGACAATTAGGTTACTTTAAAGTCGCCCGCTGCACTTGCTGGAGTATGCCCCAATGATGTGATAGTTCAATTTGGTGGACAAAATGTTAAAAGTTGCTTGGAGGTACTTACCTCTACTATTATTTCTTGTTGCTGTGTGTGCATGTATTGGTAGATAGGGTTTCTTGAACCTTAATAGTGAATAACCTTTTTTTTTAATATCCATTTAATTTATTCTTTTTCTATGTTTTGGGTATTTTTTCCCCTTGGATCCAGTTATTTGGAATAACATGGGATAAAGTTGGGGAAAAAATGTCTGTGAGTGTACTGCGAGCAAGCACTGGTGCTCGTGAGGATGTATTTATGGTAGTTGGCAAGGTTAAAAACCGTCGATGGAATAGGTAAAACCCTTCTGCTTTTAACTGACAGACCAATCAAAGGGATGTTTCAACTTTCCTTTTTCTTTTTTTTTTTTTTGTTTTTCTGTATAGATGGCTAGTTCCACCAGTAAACTGGTGGAAGAGTTACCCAAATGATATGAGGTCAGATGTAATGGACAAAGCTAATGTCTGGAGGATAAACCCTAGTAGTATCGGTATTTTTCACTTTCTTCTCTATCTACACCCTAGTTCACACTTACTATTATGATTGTGCAGTCACAGATAGCCTCTTTCTATTTTATTTCATTTTATGTAATATTATATTTATTTTTTAGATGAAAATCAAGGGTATCATATTATGAAGGATTCTTTCAAGACGAGTTTTAATTCATTATATTGGAACCAAGATTTGGATATTTATGTTAAGAGAATAGCCAATAAAGCTGCTCCATCAGTTGTCTCCTTACAAGTTTCTTCAGGTAATCACCGTACACTGATGTAGTTTCTTTACTTACTCTTATGGTTTTGACTCAGAGAGACAGTAATCAGCGTTCTGAGCTGTTAATTTAATTTGCTTGTCTAGGTGGAAATGAGATATTTGGCTCTGGCTTTGTCATCGAATGTGACACTGTCATAACCTCTGCCAGTCTCTTAAATTTTCTGGATACTCAATCCGGTGATCTAAAGGTTTGTCAACTTAAAAGTACATGTTGGTAGCAGAGTTATGTAAAATTGTATGCTGGAATTTCCTTTTAGTTTTTTCCCCCTCTAATTCATCTAGGTTTTCAGATTTTAAGATTTTTTTTTTAATTTTATTGGGGTTTTTCCTTTTTAGTTCCTTACGGTTCGTGCTTCAGTGTTTTTTTTTGGGCTTCTTTTTTCCATGTTTTTTTATCTACTTAAGTTTCTTTCCTTTTTTTTTTCTTAATTATTTTTTTGGGAGTTGCCTTTGTTTTAGTTTTTTCTTTTTCTCTTTATTATTTTTCATCTTAAGGTTTTGTCTTGTTTGTCTTAGTGTCCTGTCTCCTCAATACATTAGGATCTGATAACCTTATAATTTTTTAAGGTTTGTGTGGGTTTATGTGATGGTGAAAAATGCGATGGAGTGATTGTGGCCTGTGACTTTCACTATAACCTTGCTGCCATAAAAATTAAAGCGGGCAAGCCATTGCAAATTGCTCGGTTAAAGTATCTGGATGATTCAATCTGCATTGATCCAACCAACTTGTCGATTGGCAAACTACATGAGATGCATTCTGATCTATTCAGAATATTTCCTGGGGAAAGAGTTATAGCACTTGGACGCTTTATTGGTGATATTGGTGATATTATGGTCTCGCCTGGTGAATTCAGGTAAGAAATCAATTCTATAGCTCACACTGATTATTTCCCGGTCTTTAAAAGGAAAGACTTAAATTTCTTTCTAGCATTCAAATAAATATTTGGTTTGTTGTCTAATGTTTATGAATATAAATATTTCTATGTTTTGGGTTTAAATAGTTACATCTTTGGAAACGAACTCTGTTAGGAGTAAAGGATCATAAAGGAAAAAGAAATAATTAATTTTATTGATGATAACAATATAATAGGACGAACAAGTATGAAACTTCTCTCTCCTGCCCAGCAAGAAACTTGCCTAATAGCCTATGCTATTACAAAATAAATCTCTTCATGCTATCCTCTTGACAACCATGTCTTATATACTAAACCATAACTAATATAAAATGGTAATAAGAAATATGAGGGGTAAGAAAATAATAACATGCAAGGAATAATAACCAGTCAAAATCCATAAGATTAAGCACCGATTAAGACCCCAAAAAATCAACATAAGCTATTCTAAGATTGATATCCTTCCATTCTTGCTTCTCTATAGATGAAAATTTATCAAGTTGATTTAATAAGATGCTTTCGTGATTGCAACAAATTATATTTCCTTTGTAGTGTTGAACAATGCCGACTCGACTGTAAAGAGCTGTTGAGATCAACTGGCAGAATTACTCAAGTAAGAATCATTTTTCTTCACATCCTCTATCTTTGATTTTCACACACATATGCACCTTACAAATAATTGAAGAGATGTTGGAGTAAAGAAGAGTCAAGATGTTGATTGAATATATATCCTTGCTGGCTTGCCGATCTTTGGGTAATATATATACAAGGAATCGGTTCGAATGGGAACCATTTCTTTACGGAAAAACTATAAAACTAAACTATGGCCATTCAATGAATTTAGATCTAATAGATTGACAAATAAATATATGCATTATGCAGTGTGTATATATTTTTTGACTTGTGCGTTAATTGACTATAAATTTGCGCCCACGGACTTCTGAATGTGCGTTAATGGATATCTAGTTGTGTAATATTGTACTTCTAAATCTGAAATTGTCTACCAATTTGTAAATTGATTATCAAAATAATAATATTTTAAGTGAACAATTATAAAACTTTATATAGAGAATTGGTACAAGTTCTATTCCTTAGGTTTGTAAGGTATGATATGATGGATTTAGATGGATATAAATATATTCATTTCTCTAACCAAGTTGCCTCCAATTTTAAATCCATTGGATCCAACTTAACAGAGGGTTGTGATTTGTTCTTGAGTAAACATTTTTTGTTTTGGTTTTTATGTTCACTGGTATTTTCTAATTTTTTGGTTCTTCATTCCCGTGATAGTGTGGCATTGGGGGCCCAATGATCAACCGAAAAGCAGAGGTGATTGGAGTCAACTTCTTTCATTTCGATTTCACTCCTTTTCTACCTATCAACATAGTTTCCAAATGGTGGAGTCATTATACGAAATATAAGTAAGTTACATACTTCTTTCGAATTTAAAAAAATATTCATCCAGTCGAGAATATACATAATTTCTTAACCTAGGGACAAGGTTGATGGTTTAGTTAGTGACCGATTTATTGATCCATTTTTTAATTCCATCCCGCACTCCAGTAGTCGATTATATATTCCATTCTTTCATTTTGTTTTAGACATCTCATGTGTTGTAGATACCTGTATTAAATACTAAATAGAGCTTTGGTGTAGGAACTATTGTCGACCTTGGCTTGGGATGGAATTGAGTAATCTCTTCACTGTTCATGTACGTACCTGGGAGAAGATCATACAAAAGTTTCCGAGTATAAAAATGGGCGTTCTAGTTGATGAGGTAGGAACTATTTTTGTAGTTAATTTTTTATGAGCCGAGCTTGTTTCTTCAAGTGAACATGAATATTAAATCTTTTTGTATAACTGGTTTATGGATCACGTTTATCTAGCTTTAGGGAAGAATTGTATCACAGTTAAAGTTTGCTAAAAATTATTAATTCCTAAATTTGAAAAAGAGAATATCTTACCTGGACATGGAAACAAATTCAGTAATTTCTAAAACTTAAAATGTTAATGCTGCACATAAATGCTCAAAACTGCATAAATATTTTGCTTGTCAAATCGATTGTAATTTATCACATGAAAATTGTGTTCTCTTTGTCATTGAATGTTCAGGTTGCTCCGAATTCCCCAGCTGGTTCTGTAAACGTGCAACCAAATGATATTATAGTTGAATGTGATGGAGTTGCTATTACTAGTAACTTACAGGTATATATTGCTGTTAATAATTTTCTTTTCAGTTTGTTAATTATATTGTCTTAAGAAAATATCACAGCATATATTCTTCCCAGTTCTTTGACTTAATATGGCACAAGACTGGAAATATGGTGAAATTGGGTTTAGCAAGGACAAGTGATGGTTCTCGTGAAAATCTATCTGTGATGGTTGCTGATGCCAGCCCTACTCAGTTTAATCGGTAATGCTTGTTTGACTAGTGTTATCGTTTAAAAAGAGTAAAAACAATTTACTGTTTTGGATGATGATTTTGACTGTTTTTTATTGAAATTTTCGCAGTTGGCCCATCTTTGGACATACTCAGGTGTATTTGTAGAGCGGGAGCTGCAATTTAGGTCTATTACTTTCAAGGAGTAGATTGCACAGTTTCAATTTTTCACGAACAATCAATCAATCGTCTAGCTTGTTGTCGATTAACTTAACGTCGTAAAGATTTTTGAAACTTGAAAGCTCTATTTATATTAATACTAGTACACTCTTAATCATCTAGCTTGCCGAATATGAGATGAAAGCCCTTGCAGTATAGGCTTGTCTTTTTTTTGGAAACTTGGTGGTTGTCTTTCTGTCTTATTTTGGGACCGGAGTGAGCAACTGACCTGTGGTTGCCCTCTTAGATTTATTATTCGCGAGTGAGGAGCCGAGCTTGTGGCTGCCCACTGCGCTTTTGTATGCCGTTTGTTAGTCGCTTGATTGCAGAGTTTCAATTTTTCATGAACAATCAATCGTCTAGCTTGTTTTGAAACTAGAAAGCAATATTTATATTAATATTAATACTAGTAAAGTATACGTGAAATACATGTGATTATGATTTATTTTTTATGTGATTTTTAAACTATATTGTTTATTTTATATTTTTTATGGTCTATTCATTTTTTTGCATTATTAATTTTAATTAATCAAATAAATAAGTACATTATATAATGAATTGTTTCAACCATACAGAAAGTTGGATTACAAATAATATTAATTAAAGGGTTAATTGTTGAATAAACTTTAATCTTTTTACGTTTGGCAATTTTATCCCAATCTTTAGATAATTGCAATATAATTTCGACCTCAACTTATTTTTTGTAAGACGTACTTTTAACCGGTCGGACCTTCAAAAAACAGTACTAGTGTGTCCAGTAGTTTATATCGACGTGGAATTTTCGGTTTGCTGCTTGGATATACATTAAATACGTAGAAACTTCACCTTATGGCATAAAAAAACATGTCCTTAAATTCCTAAACGTGTCCTTATATACAACATGTCACTATACCATTAATCCCTAAATTGCAAAATTTTCAATCCCTAAATTCTCAAATTTTCACTTCAAAAAAATCTGATTTTTTGCAGACTATTGCTCTTGTGATTTGTTTGAAGATGTCGTCTTCATCTCGCGCAAGCCAGAGTTTCGGAACTTTCCTACGAAGAAGGTCTGCCGCCACGGCAAGGAAGCCGACGTCTTAACCTCCATGATGTTTGAAAATCCATGTAAGAGGTTCTACAAAAAAAACCCAATTTCTATAAAGGTGAACTCATAATTTAACTTCTCGATTTTACTCTTTTAGAACCCTAATTTCTTCAAAAAAACCCAATTTCTATAAACCCTAATTTTTTCGATTTTCAATCTAGCAAGGGGATGACTCCGATTGCATTGAACTTCTCGATTTTACTCTATTAGAACCCTAATTTCTTCAAAAACCCCAATTTCTATAACCCTAGATTTTAAAATTTTCAATATTTAGCAAGGGGATGACTGCAATTTCTTCGAGTGAATTGATCCCGCACTTCCCAATTTTCGAAGATCCTATTTTTTGCGATTGAAATCTCAGAAGGAGTCTTTGGAAGAGCAGCTGAGACGAAAGATTGCGTTGGAGAAAATGTACAACGAAAGGGCAGTGGAAAAATATGAATTCTTAGACCAAGTCAGTGAGTTTGAACACAAATTGAATGATCTTATGGACGAAGTTCAAAAAAATAAAGAAGCCGTGTTGGTTCTGGCAAATACACTAGCCCTCATGCATAAACTAGAAAGGAAGTTGAATGTTGTTATGTTTTTCTTATTTGTGGTTGTACTGTTTTTTGTTCTTAGTTTGCTTGGAAAACATGGTCATGTCGAGAGGCCTAAAATGTTGATTTGAATGTTTTCTTATGTTATGGTTGATGTATTTAACCTATGAATTAATGGAATCTATGTTTGTCCGAATTTGTGGTTGTACTGTTATTCTTGTTGTCCTTTTTTTTGTATATTTTGCCATTCATGAGATACAACTATGTTAAGTAAACTAAGATCATTGCAATGTATTTAACTAATATCAACTATGTTAAAGCATCATGTGTGCCTAAAACAGAATTCAACACCCAAACCCAACATAAGAAGTCTAAGATCATTCCAAAAGCTTCAAAGCTTTGTTCAGAACATAGGATCCTTTTGTTTACCATTAGAACAAAAGACATATTTTGTAAGCTTTTGTTTATATTAAGGCATATGGTAAACGAAAGACAGATTGGTCACATCAAAACAATAGCAAAAATAGATAGATCATTCTTTAGAAAAAATATAACACCCACACTAAGATTTATAAATTGTTTCAGTAAGCTTTGTTCAGAACATATCAAAAGATACAAACCACCGTCTTCTCCATCAATACCAAAAGATTCAAAGCATTGTTCAGAACATAACAAAATACTTCAATAGCATTACAAACACAAGGTTCTCCATCAATAACAACTGCATAACTGCATAACAACTAAACTGCCATCCTAATCACCACTAACATCATAATCACAAAACATTCTAAACCATAACAACTGCATAACTGCCAATCATAAACTTCTTTCAAAACATCACTACCAATCATCCTTTGCGAGAAACACTTTCTTGAGTACCTAAACCATCCTCAGTTCTCTTCCTCCCCATCTGAATTTTCCTCTTGCCTCTAGAGTTGCTAGAAATAGCACCTATCCCAGAAATGACATGAACTCTTCTTTCTGATGACAACTGCATTTATGACATCTCAAATAATAATACGGAATTAAAAAAGGCTGATTTCAATATACATGATATTGGAAAATGACAAATATAGAAAATAAATCAATTAAGTTAAGAAACATACCCTCATGTAAGTATTACCAGACTCCTCAGACTGAAGGATACCAAATCCCTTTCTTGCCTAAAAACAAGTATAACAACATATCATTAGAAAGTCAACATGATACATCATCAACATATCAATAGAACTTCACCAAAACAAAATTGTATTACCAGAGCTCTTTCCTTTTGAGTCAAAGATGACTCTTGACTTGACTGCATTCTTGACACTGATGTTGTCTTTTGAACTGTTGTATGCGGGTGTTGTGGTCCAGCAATCTTCTTAGGCCTTCCCCTTGGATGTTGATAAGAAACAAATTGAAAATTATATCATAGGATGAACAAACAAGACTTTAGATAGAAATTCAAACCTTCGGTTGTTTTTCAATTGAAGGGTTATAACATAATTTTGTATTGTGCTCTTTTTGGAAACATCTCTGACAAGTCATAACCATCCCAATCTCCTCAACTTAGTCCCAGAATTTTTTTCTTCCTCAGCATCTCTTCTCTTTTTTCTTTGGCCTTCTTGCCATCTTTTTAAAAGGAGGAGGCAGAAAAGGATAACCTTGTGCAACTGGCAACATTTCTTTCCATTTATAGGTTGTAATGAGAAACTGTACATTTCTAGATACCTTTCAAGTGAGAAGTACTCAGACACAAACTCTACAGGATCCTTATGTTGGAAATGTATTGCAGAACATGCATGAACACAAGTGTTTGTCCCATTTTTGTTACATTTGGCCCTTTTGGATTAAGCAATTTTCGGCCCATTTCCTCTTATTATTCTGGGCCCATATTTTGTTACCACGTGCTAAATTGTTAACCAGAGGGAGATATTTTTCTTCTCCCACCCGTTGCGATATTTCCTACGAGAGAATTCTTCCCACGATCGTCGCTCTATAAGACTCGGCCATGGAGCAAAGAATTTTTCTTCCACACACAGAAATCATCTTCTTCGTTCCTTCACGTCCGCAGCCCTCAGCAATTTAAAAAAAAAATATAAAAATTTAAGCGCCGCCTAAATTATTGATCCGCCATCTCTTTTGGCGAACGTAGCCTTGCCGTCACCGCCATTTTTCACGTGTTCTTATTACCAGCAAGTCACCGCCATCGATCGCGCTTGAATCAGCCACTTATGTTCGTCCTCAAGTCTGTAACAACCCTCAGACGCGAGCCGATGTCCGCCATAGCCGAAGATCTTGAGCCGTCGTCGAGCCATCCATCGAGCCCAGATGTTGCAGCCTCTCCGTCGTACGTCGAGGAGAAGCAGCCGAGAGGTCGCAGCGGCCCGTTCATGATCAGTAGTCGTTCGTCGAGGCTTTTGATTTTTGAGTTTCGTTCGTCCGTTCGGTCCTGTTCATTCGATCCATTTTCAGATAGCTTGTAGATTCCCGAAGACGGGTAACCTATTTCGAATCCCTTTTCGTGCTCGTATTTATTTTCTCGTCAAAATATCATGCTCATTCAATCGAATTTAATTGGTTGGTTGATTTATATATGTCGGTTCGTATAGTCGTTTTATTCGTTGGGTTATTTTCATAAAATTTTTGTGGATATTCGAAACTCTTAATTTTAAAAATCGAACCTTGCTGTTGTGATTAACTTATGTAAAATCTGGAATCTCATCGTATTCTTTTAGCCGAGCCATTGTTTTTGCCGATTCGTTTATTTTCGAACCGTATTTCGTCGTCGCATTTTTTTAGCCAAAAACCTGATTTATATATGATTTTCGAATTCTGGAGAAAAATCGGTTTTATTTTTTATAATTTTTGAAAAAAATTTGAACCATCATCGTGCTCGAAAACTGCCGTCAAAATGTTGCCGGAGAAGTTGTTTCTGTCGCAGCCAGATGCTGCAGGGCCGAAGGCCATTTTCTTATTCCGCAGCCCAGGAGAATTTTAAAATTTAGCCCAATTCTTTTTTTTTTTCTTTTCGCATACGACCCATAAATTTTGCCAACAACCCAGTTGATTTAGGAGGCCCAAATTACACCGTGCAGCCCAGCTAGTAGGAAGAGAAAATGCGACGGCTCATATATAAAATGAAAGGGGCACTATAGTGTTTCTAGTGTTGGGATCTATGAGGATCTCGTTATGTACAAGTTATGAATTCAATAGCGAACGTAAACCTATGCGCAGCGGTTCTAAAGAATTGACGTAGAAAATTTACGGCTTAAAAGTTTATGAATTTGATGGCTTCGGGAGGGGCGAGCCGTGCGTGTGATATACACGTTTCTACTCTTCTGTTCTCTTCTTGTGAGCTTAATGATGTATATATAGAGCTACAGTAGGGATCCTTAGGAGAATAGGATTAGGGCTTCTTAAGTATTGGACTAACTGTAGGCCAAGCCCACTCCTCTAATTACTTAAATAATATTATGGTCCACTAACATAATATTATTGCACTCCCTTTTCCTATCCCAAATTACATTTGAGACTCCAATAATTACCCTAATTACCTCCCAATATTTAAGATATAATGTTCATTAATTAATTCTATTATTGATAATCAAGAAGGAATTAACATATTATATTACCGAAGCTAGCGCTTGTTCATCACATTATTATTATGTCGGAACTTAATCCACCTACAGGGTTTAGCATAACAATCCTTCATGAACTCACTTCGGGGACATCATCAAACTAACGCACATGGTTACCGCAAATATCCTAATAGCACATCATACATACAACAATATTACCCAAGACAGTAAGACTATTGATTC